AAGCTATTTTTAGTTGGGCCTTCTGTTATCTGCAGCCCAAAGCCTTCTACCTGACATATGAGGCTACCAGATGAACTTCCCTGTCCTTTTTAGATCTAACATTTTGTGATCCAGCTTCTCTTTTCAAAGAAGGAAGCAGGCTTGGCAAGAGGGGACTTGTCCAAGGCCACACCATGCGTGTGGTGGAGCCAGGACCCCAAGCTGCTGCATTCTCTCCCACCATATACCCCTTTAACCCTTTGCGCGAGCCCTTCACGCAGTGATGGACATCAGTTCTTGTTTCAAAGAAATGCTTCATTGTGTCACTCATAACTTCTCTGAGTTGAAGGGGAGTATGGGACTGGATAAAGATGACCCTAGAGGACTTCCCTGGTGGCGCAGTGGTTAAGAATCTGCCTGCCAATGCAGGGGACACGGGTTTGAGCCCTGGTCCGGGAAGATCCCACATGCCGCGGAGCAGCTCAGCCCGTGCGCCACAACTACCGAGCCTGTGCTCTATAGCCTGCGAACCACAACTACTGAGCCCACATACCACAACTACTGAAGCTCGCACACCTAGAGCCTGTGCTCCACAACAAGAGAAGCCACCACAATGAGAAGCCTGCATACCGCAATGAAGAATAGCCCCAGCTCGCGGCAACTAGAGAAAGCCCAAGTGCAGCAACGAAGACCCAACACAGCCAAAAATAAATAAATAATAAATAAATTAAAATAAATTAAAAAAACAAAACAAAAAGGAATGGAGGGCCCAGAGACAACACAGATGGACAGAGAAAAATGCCTTAGAATGATTAATATCCTCAGAGACATAGGGAATGGTATTGCACCCATGAAACAGAAACAAGATGTTAAAAACAAAGAAAATCTAATCATAAGGAAGAAATTTGAAAATTAAAATCATAGCAGCAGGAAAAAAGTTGAGAGAGAAGTTGGAAGATAAGTTTAAGGACAATTTCCAGAAAACAAACAAAATCACAAACAAAGAGACCACAGAAGAAAGGTAAGAAAAGTAGACGATAAATCCAGAGGGTCCAACAGTCAAATAATAGTTCCAGAAAAAAAGAATAGAGGAAGTGAAAGAAAATTATCAAGGAATGATTAAAAAAAACTTCCCAGGGGACTTCCCTGGTGGCACCGTGGTTAAGAACCCGCCTGCCAATGCAAGGGACATGGGTTCGATCTCTGGTCCGGGAAGATCCCACATGCCGCAGAGCAACCAAGCCTGTGCGCCACAACTACTGAACCTGTGCTCTAGAGCCCGTGAGCCACAACTACTGAAGCCCATGCGCCTAGAGCCCATGCTTGGCGACGAGAGAAGCCACCGCAATGAGAAGTCCGCGCACCGCAATGAGGAGTAGCCCCCGCTCACCTCAATTAGAGAAAACCGGCAGCAACAAAGACCCAATGCAGCCAAAAATAAATAAATAAATTTAAAAACAAAACAAAACTTCCCAGAGCTTAATGACACAAAATTGCAGATTGAAAGGCCCACTTTGAAAAGATACACATACCCCCAATGTTCATAGCAGCATTATTTACAATTGTCAAGATATGGAAGTACCCTTATCAATAAATGAATGGATAAGGAAGATGTGAGACCTAGTATTCCACTGTGTGTGACGCACACACAGTGGAATACTAGTCAGCCATAAACAAGAATGACATTTTGCCATTTGCAGCAAAACGGATGGAGTTGGAGGGTATGATGCTAAGTGAAATAAGTCAGACAAAGACAAATATTGTGTGATATCACTTATATGTGGAACCTAAAAAATACAACAAACTAGTGAATATAACAAAAAAGCAGACACAAATATAGAGAACAAACTAGTGGTTACCAGTGGAGAGAGGGAAGGGGGAAGGGCAATATAGGGGTAGGGGAATTAGAGATATAAATTCTTAGGTATAAAATAAGCTACAAGGATATATTGCACAATACAGGGAGTATAGCCAATATTTTATAATAATTATAAATGGAGTATAACCTTTAAAAATTGTGAATCACTATATTGTACACATGTAACTTATATAATATTATACATCAATTAAAAAAAGGCCCACCTAATTCCCAGCACAATGAATGGAAAAAGATTCATTATGACATTAGAACACCAAGGATAAAGAAGTGATTCTAAAAGCTTCCAGGAAGGAAAAAGCCATTCATATAGAGATGATCAAAAATCAGAATGAATGGCATCAGCTTTCTCAGCCTCAACACTGGGAGCCAGAATACAGTTGGATAAAGTCTTCAAAACTGTAAGAGAAAATTATTTCCAAACTTAAATTCCATTCCCTGACAAACTAGTAACGTAGCGTAATGATAGAAGAGAGACATTTTCAGGTAAGCGATGCCTCAGAAAATGTTATCTCCTGTGTATGCATTCTCCACCAAAATGAGAAAGACAAGAAAATAGTTGATCCACACCGGAGGGAGGTGTAGGAAAGTCCCAGGTGACGGCTGTACAGCAGGCTGGAGTCAGTGGATGGAAGGCTCCAAAAGGAATATCTCCAGGAAAAAAGTGAATCAGGGACTTCCCTAGTGGCACAGTGGTTAAGAATCCACCTGCCGATGCAGGGGACACGGGCTCGAGCCCTGGTCCGGGAAGATCCCACATGCTGCAGAGCAACTAAGCCTGTGCGCTGCAACTACAGAGCCTGTGCTCTAGAGCCCAAGAGCCACGCCTACTGAGCCCACATGCTGCAACTACTGAAGCCCGCGAGCCTAGAGCCTGTGCTCCGCAACAAGAGAAGCCACCACAATGAGAAACCCGCGCACCACAACAAAAAGTAGCTCCCGCTCGTGGCAACCAGAGAAAGCCCATGTGCAGCAATGAAGACCCAACGCAGCCAAAAATAAAATTAATTAATTTAAAATAAAAGGTGAATCAGATATAGTGTCTGATGTGTTTGACCCTACAGAAACTAGGTCTCAAGGTCTTTGGCTTAAAAAAAAAAAGTATTCTTTAAAAATTTAGGAAGAATTAATGATAACTGCAAAGAAAACTCAGCAACAAAGAGGAGGCAAACATTGTATTATATGAACTTGAAAATGTACACATTATAACATTTCTGATACTGAGATGCATCCTGCAAACTATGGAGTGTCACAGTTTAGTTTCTTGGTGGTACATAAATAATGGTGCATCTTACAATATTAGATTAGGAGAATTATAGTGATATCTCCAGAAATATAAAAAGATGTGCAAGGAAGGAAATGTAATTATAGTGGTTCATGAATGAACAAGACATATAGCCATAATGAGGTAAATAAGCATTAATGGAATACGGTCTTTACCAAAAATTGTGATATTACCATATTGGGAGGATGAAAGAAGGAAAAGTAGGGCATGAGTGGTATAAAATAGTCAATGATTCATCCTCCATAATGGGGAGTAAAAATACAGCATCTAAAATCAATACTTCAAAAAAAAAAAGCAATATGAGTACATTATTTAGAAATATGTAGGTAACTACCAGAAGAAGCAACTGAGAGTCTGAAGGAGGGATTCAGGGATGGGGAAAGTGGGGTAGGGAATTGCTGGAATTTCTTTTCTGTTGTTGTTATAAACCTTATGGTACTGTCTGGCATTTTAAATCATGTATATGGAGTACTCTGGTTTGGATGGAATGAAAAAAGAAAATGAGGGAAGGAGGGAATAAATCGGGAATTCTCCATGGATCCCAGCCTTGAATCAGGATGGCTGGGGACGATGCCCCTTTATGAAATCCGATTGATGGGAGGGGAAACTGAGCAATTGGAAGGGGCTCCCATTATGGGGAGATTGAACCCTCCTGTAGTGGGATGGTAGATCCTGCCAGGAGAATTTTGTTTTCAGGTCCTGCACTCCTTTAGAGGCGCTGACTTCCTCAAAAGAAGGAGGTGGCTCCCAGCAGCGGCTTCACCCAGGCCCTCCTGGGGTTCTGCTCTCTGCAGCCTTGGAGCCAGGGATCCAGGCTGGGGTGGGGTCATCACAGTCTGGCAGCACCGACCTGTTCTCTTACAGTGCCTTGGGCACAGGCCGGGAGGGAACAGCAGATGCACCCACTCCACCTGGTGGAGGAAGGGAGATTGCAGCCCGGAGTCCAGGATTTTTGCAAAAGTTTCCCTGTGGGGAAGAAGCACTACTTTGCTACTTGGTTGTTACAAACTAGTCCTCAATTTCATCTTCCTCTTAATTCAAACACTCTGTGACCAAACATCTTTGATTCCTACTCCGGAGCTGCTCCAGCTATCCACTGCTGTATAATAAACCCTCCCAAACCTAGTCACACCAAACAACCACTGTCTGTTATGCTCTAGGATTCAGTGAGTCAGGAATTTGGATGGGGTTCCACAGGGTTGGCTTGTCTCTCTATTCCATGATGTCTGAGGCCTCAGCTGGGAAGATGCAAATGGCTGGGGGCTGGAACCACCTAGGGGCTCCTTCACTTATATCTAGCGTTTTCGGCTGGATGACTTGAAGGCTGGGCTCAGGTGGGATGGCTGGCTTAGTGCCCCCATGTGACCCCTCTTTGTGGGTTGGGCTTCCTCAAGGCATGGTAGTCTCAGAGTCGTGAAACCTCTTACCTGGTAGATCAGGGTGCTAGGAGTGGATATCCCAGTGAACA